ACCTGTCTTGCTCCACATTGCTCTCTATATTCTTCTCGAACCTACGTGTGAAACAATCACACGCTAAGTCGATGACTTAGTGAGGCAAATAAAACATATAATAGAAATCATAAAAACATCCCATACAACAAAACACAAGAACATTTAATACTAATTTATCATACAAAATCATATACCTTTTTATATAACAAAGACACTTATGTACATATATCATCATCTACTTTCTTAGCATTATCATATATATTATTATCATTATCTCTATCATTATCATCGAATTATTTATCACATAATCTTGTACTTATCCTTTCTGTATATCATATCACTCATATATCATTTCACCAAAAGCATATACATTATATATATTGTATTTATGTTATCTCTTTGATTAGCCCATGGTACACTTGTGAGAACTATCGATATGTGAGTCTATAGAGGTTGTGCACTAATGCTGTCACCACAGCTCGTATCATTGCACCGAAGTGCACGTAGAATTGTACCGTAGTGCCGCGTAGAATTGCACCATAGTGCCCTATAATAATGTCCATAAGGACCACATATCATTCCTTAAGAATCATATACATATACTAGGGATCAAGTATGTGTCTTACAAGACTTCATACATGTTCCACAGAATATATATATATCCCGAAGGACCGCGTAGAATTGCACCGTAGTGCCATATAATAATGTCCATAAGGACCACATATCATTCCTTAAGAATCATATACATATACTAAGGACCAAGTATGTGCCTCAAAGACCTCATAAATGTTCCAAAGAATATACATATGTCCCGAAGGACCGCGTAGACCCTCGACTCTTGGCATGCCAACTATACCCCTATCTCTCATGACACATAACATGGGCATTATCATTTATTTCATTTCAAATATTCACATAAACATGTAATTCACTTTCACATATCACGTATCACATAGCTTCTTTTCATATTATCACATAGTCACATAGTTCACTTACACGTAGATCATTTCCATATAATTCACATGTCACATATCTCATGTTCTTGTATTCATATAACATATAATCACATAGATTACTTTCACATCACATAATTCATAGTTATGATTTCATATATTACCTAATTACAAAGCTAATTCACCTATACATGTTTTCATATAATTTCTATCATTTCTCACCCAATCACATTTATTCATGTAAACATACTTATCATATCTTGTTCACATATGATCATATACTTCATATAACATATAGAAACACCTAGAACACTTTCACATAGCTTATATCGTATTTCTAAATATATATCATTTAATAGTATTTTTATTTAGGTAATAATTTAATCTATTTACTTAATTCAATTTCATAATTTCATTATAATCTTTTCATATAGCTCCATAGATATTTAGCATAAACTTATCTTGCATATTCGTATCGTCCCTTTATATTCAAGTTTCCTAATTGATATATTATTCCCATTTCATTCTATAATTCAATCTTATTAGTTCCCTTAACTCTCATTAAATCAAAAGCTCTATTATACTAATTCCCATGATGGATCATATCACTATGTACTTGTCCAACTCATGTTTACCTAGTTCATATCACTTCTCATGAACTCACTCTCATCATATTTTCCTATTCTTACATCTTTTATCTCATAACCATGTATTCACATAGTCTTATATTTCATTATCATATTACTTATATTTGTTCTCCTATGACTCTTTATAAACATCTATTTCCATTTCCCTACATCTCTTGACTTATCTTCTATATTCATATAATTTCATAACTTATTTTATATTCTCTCATTAACACTTAACCGTATTTTTACATAAACCACATAGCACATACAAAACAAAACCTATCAATTCATATAATCCAACATACATACACTTCATATCGTTAACATACTTATAATCAAGACTTAATGAGCTATTACTATATGAATAGACTTATCACAAGTCCAATTTCCATATAATCCTATACAATAAAATGCACTCACCTGTGCCTCGTTGTTTGAATCAATCATAATCCTTAGTTTGTTCCGGAACAAGCTTTCATTCTATATCTACATAATAATACATTAATACTTATCAGTATACTGATTGATATATTCGAAACTATCACTCCTTAGGCTCAGAGAAAAGCCAATTTCATCTTTTAATGAAGGTATGCATCGATGCATTACTGATGCATCGGTGCATAAAATGCATTCGATGTTGTATTATTACTGGGATGCATCGATGCATGCCTTATGCATCGATGCACTAATTGCATTCGATGTTTCTATTTTAAAAGAGTGCATCAATGCATTACCAATGCATCAATACACCTTCAAATAATTTCTGGGTTTTAACCTTGATGCATCAATGCACTATGAATGTGCATCGATGCACTCTGCCCAGAATCCTCTTTTATGCCCGAAAATCCACTCTTTTCAGCTTAATACTTCATATATCATCCCCTTTCTTATTTTTAACTTACATACTCATATTCAAACTCATTCTTATTCATTAATCACCTCTTTAACATCAAAATCCTATTCTCCATATGAAATTCAAGAATTACACTAAATTTTCAACATGTTCCAAATTCAATTCTATTACTTCTAGCTTCTTAATTATACCCTTGACAAGTCAAATCCATCTTTAGAACTTCAAAAACATTTCTATAACAAAATTTCATTTCTACATCCTTCATATCATTTCCTTTCTAATTCTCTATTCTTGATGTTTAAAGCTTATATAAGCTTTCCTTAAGCTTATATAATACTCCAAGAATCAAAATCAACTTATAAATCCAAGAATTAAACAGTTGAAATTAAACTCACCTTTAAATGAGGCTTACGGGGAGAAGAAGCTGGAGAAGAAGACTCTGGATAATTCTCTCCTTTCCCACGTGGTTTCCTTAAAAAGGGAAAAATAAAATCTTCTCTTAGAAAAGACCATAATACCCTTGTTACTTTCCAGCTTTACTACTAAATCCATGAACTTTTAACTTATTTCAAAATCAAGCACATAATTTTCAAAATTTACAATTTAGTCACTGACCCTGAATTTCGGGATGTTACTTAGATCATGTTTGGGTCGTCTTTTTCTTCTTATAGTACCTTCTTCGGCTTCCGATATTTCCATGGAAGACTCTTGTTTGAACGGAAACATTGGGTTCAAATTACTACCGGATTGAAAGTTAATTAAGGAACGTCGCGTCAACGTCGTTTCCAGTCCGATTCCGAAGAACAAACTCCGACGTTGTTGCATCGAGAAGTTGGAGTTGAAACCCGATGACCGAATCTGAGAAGCGAGATATTGAGGGAAGTGAAATTTATAGGGATGGTGCCGGTACCTGTGGCGGCGGTCACGGTTGGTTAAGCTTGTTGTGTCCTACGGCCACGTCCATCTACCTTGGTGTGATGATCTTTTGGTTGAAGTACGCTTAGGGGGTGGGATTTTTGAAAGACGACCCAAACACGATTTATCTTTGCAACATCAAACGGGGAGTTACTTGTTGAAGTCGAGCACCGGGGCGGTTCCGGCGAGCCACGCACAGGTTCCGGCGAACCTTTGGATGTTAACCAATTCTAGTAATCTAAGTCATGAGTGTTGGTAACGAGGCCATTGGAGTTGGGAAATTCATAAAATGCAAAACACTGTTGTTCACCGATAGAAATGTCCAGCAATTTGCAGGTGAAGAAAAGAAAAGAAAAAGTAATTGAAAATTTATCCCTAAAGTGTTTTTGATTTACCAAAAAAATCATAATTTATTTTACTTGAAGTTCAGAAATTAAAAAAATTTAATCATTTTATTAACGTATCAAGTAATTAATTTATTAATAATTTAACGATTGTTTAACGTTAACAATCATTTTTATTAAGTGATCACGTCTTCAATATATATAATGATACAAGTCCCATTACTTGTCTGTTTACATAAAAAAAATGTTATAAAATAAATTTACAGCTTTCTGGAAAAAGTTAGAAATCAATGATGAATCTGAAAAGAAAAAAAAAGTTAGAAGTGAGCAAAGGCACGCGTCAACCTAGTTTTGGAGAAACATGAAAGGCTATCAAATGAATATGACGTTGATAACAAAATTAATAGGAATGCGGTTGTCGCCGCCCACACTGTACCTTCACCAATCTCCACCCATTTTTTGGTTTGTTCATTTTCCCCCCATCAAAATCGTATTCAATGTTATATATTCTTATTTTATTCATCAGTTGTTAATATTTTATTAAAATTTAACAATAAAAAACTTGACATAATATGATAATATCTTTAAAAACTTGCGTATTTTATAAATTTGATTGATTTCATGAATATTTTTAATATTGAATTCTTTTATCAAATTTGATTTTTATTTTTATTTGAAATAGTTTAAAATTTTAATAGTCTTAACAGTAATTGTTTTAAATAAAAATAATGATCAAATTATTATTAATTATATCATATCAAAGTCACCTCCATTATTAATGATTGATGAGCAAAATATAATTTTATAAAAACAATTAGATAACTAAAATAAATTCTCAGATACAAACAAATAATTTACTTTAAATTTCAAAGAGTTAAGCAGATCGCAAATAAGTACGATCGTAGAATGTTTGTTAGGATTTACTTTATATGTGAAAAAAATGAATAAATTTGGTTGTTAGGATGTCTGTCGTTTTATAAAGGATTTGCCTTATGCTTATCCGATACCAACACCTCACTCTGTCGAGCTTGACAGCCAAGCAGACCACCAAAGCGATGACCAAGAAGAAGATTCCGAGCCCATGTACTGTTCCATCCAAAGACTCTTTTCAAGTTCTGGGTTACGTGAAAGAGTAGCGGATGATGATGAAGATAGAGAAGATGGTAATGCGATGGATGGTGGGCAAGGAAACGATGACGGTAAAATCTACGGCGGTGGAGATGGTGATGGTGGCGGCTCATAGTTTTTTGAGAGCAGTAATCATGGGATTGATACTGATAGCATCGATGTCTACTATCAGAAAATGATTGAAGCAATTCCTAGTAATCCGCTTCTGCTCGGGAGTTATGCCAGGTTTTTGAAAGAGGTAAAGGTATACAACCTCATCTGTCTGTATTTACATCATTGTTTTTACGTGTTTGTTTTTAAAGCAGATTAAAGGGGATTTTGCCAAAGCTGAGGAGTACTGCGGGAGAGCAATTTTAGCAAATCCAAATGATGCTGTTATTTTGTGTCTCTATGCCCTTCTAATTTGGGAAAACCAAAAGGATTCTCATAGAGCAGAAAGTTACTTTAATCAAGCTGTTAATACTTCCCCTGATGACTGGTAAAATATACGAAGCACCCATTCATCAAAAACTTCGTTTCATACGCGATGATAAGTTTTCTGCATCTAAATAAGTGTTTAACGTTTGCCTTTAGCAGTTTGAAAGCTCTTGATGGATTGAATTGAATCACTTCCATTTATAGCAGCTATACTTCCGTTGTTGAACTCAATGTTGACCTTCAAATTGTATCTGCAGTTTTGTCCTGACGTCATACGCAAAATTTCTGTGGGATGTCGAAGAAGAAGAAGAAACTGAGCATATCAATATACGTTCTCCAGGTTTCAACCTTGAGCCACCTCAGCACCCTTCCATAACTGCAGCTTCGTAACTTACATGGATCAATGTACATGCAAATGCTTTGACATAGTAGGCTCAGCCTCGGATGTGAGTGTTAGATACAGATATGTCGACACGTCTTCGTATCCATACATCAGACATCAGCATTATAGAGATAACTAGTAGATGGCGATATCTTCTGCCGGTTTTCTTCACTCACTGCATCTTGAAACAATAACTCTGCCTACAAATATAATAAAGTTATTTGTAAATAAAAATTTTGGTTTAACTTCTGGGTTGCCTAGATTGCTCAATCTATCATTTCCTGGTTCAACCTGGAAACCGAATGAACACTGGAAATTTTATTACTTTCAACACAAAGGAACTGAAAGACCATAGATTGCACAATACCAGCTGCTTTGTGATAGATAAAAGTACAACATAACATGAACTTTAAATGTATTTTTTAGTAACTTGATTAACATCATCCCACATGATATATCTCGGTGAAACAGAAAAGGAAAGATAGGAGGGATAGGTATGCGGCCTTTTATCAATGTTCTTCTTTTGAGAGACATTATTTATTGTCTGGTTTGTATTTTGGAAAGTATAAACTCATAATGCCATAACCATATGATACGGATATAATTGTATGATAATTTAAAAAAAAATTAAAATAATATTGATGCATTTAATAATTTAGTATCCGACATTTTCTTATCGTTGATTATATATTTTGGAAACACTTCGGTTTTGGCTGAGGATGTATGTCTTTTGATTCAGACAGTGCCTTGTTGTGATGCTTGTACTCATCTAAATTTCGGACCCATTTTGTCTTGTTAGCCATTTCGCACCATTTTTGTTGTGTTGTACGATTTGGGTTTTACAGGCTAATAAGATTGATTCCATGTATTGATCATCATGTCTCATCATGGTCACCGTCGCCTTGGGAATTTGGTTTTTCAGCTAACACATTTGGTTTTAGATAAGAAAGTTCTCTTAATTTAGGGCAAATTTTTTTATTACAAGATAAGAATGATTGTTCGATATCAAACTTAAATTTTAATGTTAATTAAGATTATAATGACTTTTTTTATCAATAAATTATATATTTAATTAGTAAATTTAAATTGATTAGCAATTTATATATTCGAAATGAACATATTATTCATTCCATGCAATGAACGACAAGACATCATGTACATTAAAAATGAGAAGGGTAAATTATATAAATAGTCCCAAACTTTTAGGATGCTTGTAGTTTGGTCACCTAACTTTTGAAACTTGCAATACATTTATCGAACTTTTAATTTGTTTTCATTTTGGTCCCTACCGTTACCTCCGTTAGTTTTTGCTGATGTGGCAATTAAACCCGTTAACTTTTCTGACGTGGCAGCTTCTTCTTCCTCCTCCTCTTCTGCTTTTGAATCATCTTCAGCTTCAAAACCCAATTCCAAAACAGACCCAACATGCAAGAGGGATGGGAGATAGCAATTACCAAGCAACAAAGACGTCGAGGTTGGGTTTAAAGCATGGCAGGGGCGAGATTGTTGAGGTCTTGTTACCAAAGCTGGATATTGGAAAGCTACTGGGACAGAAAGTACCCGACTGGGTTGAGAACTAACCGATCAACTGAAGCTGGATACTGGAAAGCTACTAGGAAAGATCAGAAGATTTATATCTCAAAGACTTGTGCATTCGTTGGGATGAAGAAGTCACTGGTATTTTATAGGGGAAGAGCTCCTAAAGGAGAGAAAAGCAACTGGGTCATACATGAATATCGCCTGGAAGGCAAATTTGCTTACCATTATCTCTGTACAAGCTCCAAGGTATATATATCATTCTCTTTGATCGTAAACTTCATGTATTTTTGCACTTATTCCAATGGGAAAACCTTTAATTTTACACAGAAACATTGCATGTTAAAAGCAACGGATTGTTCCTTTGGACAATGAATTGAAACTCATTAATCCGTGTTATAACTCTTGTTACTGTGGTTTTTTACATGTACTTTTCAGATTAACACTGTGATTAACAGTTATATGATCTCTTTAGAAAGAGATTTTTGCATTCGGACTTTTGGCCAATGAACTATATTTCTCTAAATCTGTACGTTAAAAGCAAATGGTATATTTCCATTCATGTACGTACACTTGTTAAAGATTAATATTTTACATGCAAGATCTGATCAGCACTATGAGGTTTAATAGTTTCACTCTTATGTTAAATCAAAATCCAATGAAAAGACGCTCGAAATCTCATTTATTAAGTGTTCTTTTTATTATCTTCCATTTTCAAGGTGATTTGGAACCTTTGGTTGTTGTTTCAAGTGTTCACTGTTTGCTGAAATTTGCATGTGTTTTATTTGATTATTTCGGGATGAATGGGTGATATCCAAGGTATTTCAGAAGTGTGGCACCGACAATGGCAGCAGAGGAGCCAAGAGAACCACCATGAATGTCGCGTCCATACTGCTCTACCAAGAACCGAGCTCTCATTCCTCGGTCTCCCTTCCACCGCTCCTGGATCCCACAGCTGCAACCTGCGGTGTTTTCCTCACTAACCATGACAGTTGCTCTTACGACAGCCATAACCAATCCAAGCACGTGTCCTGTTTTTCCACCAATGCTGCCACCCTTCCTACCTACCACAGCGGATTCAACCTTGTGTTGCCACCACCGGTACTACCTTTAACCTCCTTTAATGATCTCGCCCTTGTCGTGCTTCAAACCCAACCGTGACGTCTTTCCAGCTTGGTAATTGCTATCTCGCATCCCTCCTGCATGTTGGGTCGATTTTGGAATCGGGTTTTAAAGTTGAAGATGATTGCTTTGAAGAAGAAGAAAAAAGAAGGAAGCAGAAGAAAAAGCAGATGAGAAAGAAGAAAAAGACACGTCAGAAAAGTTAATGGGGGTAAAATGTCATCAGCAAAAATTAACGGAGGTAATAGCAGGAATCAAAATGAAAATAAACTAAAAGTTTGATGACTGTATTGCAAGTGTTAAAAGTTAAGTAACCAAAATGCAAGTGCCTTAAAAGTTAGGGGACTATTGATATACTTTACCCTAAAAGAAATAATATGGGACAGAGGATTTCCTCTCACATCTTACACTTTACGTGTCACCCATTCATTGTATAGACTAATTTTCTATACACACATATATAGATATATTGCAAGAGCAAAATATGTTATATAATATTGTCACACACACACACACACATATATATATATATATATATATATATATATATATATATATCTCACCTCCTTGCCTAAACTGAGCCTAGGGTATTAAGTGATCACGGAAATCAGTGGTAGTAAAACAAGTCTAAATTTAAAATTTTATTCAAACTTTAAATACTTTAACTTGATAAAACTCAAACTTAAAAGGTTGAACTGGAAAAGTCTAAGCCGGAAAAAATTAAACTTAAAAAAAATTGAATATGAGACTAGTGTAGAAACTTGGTGATAGAGTTTAGGAGCCAATTTAAAACATTAAAAAAGAAATAGGTTTAAATTAAAAATTTTGAAATTTTTGAAGAATTTAGTTTACATTTTTCAAGAAATTAGGATCTAACTAAAATTTTTAAAATCTTGAAAAGTTTAATGAGAATTTTTAAAAATTACAGGATGGGTTTAATTAAGAAGATTCAAAAATAATTTATAAGATTAAGTTAAAAGTTACATTTTTTAATGTCTTATAAAAGTTTCAAACACCGTTATGGACTTAATAAGAATTGTAAAATAAATCGGGGTTCTAATAAAAGTTATAATTCTGAAATGCTTAATGAAAAATTTCAAAACTTTTGAGATGGTATATTTCAAAATATTGAAAAAAACTTAACGCTCAGTGAACCTGTGAGAATTTAAAAAAAAATAAGGGGTTGATAAAAAATTTCAAAATTAATAAAAACTTTTTTTAACCCTATATGAGGTAGGTAAGAGAGATGTAGGATAATAAGTTGTCCCTAACGTAAGGTTAAGAACAACTTCCGTAAAAAATCTCAGTTATAAATTGTATTCAATAAGACTCGATCCTACGATCACAAGATTTTTAATAAACTTTGTGTTCTACCAACTGAGTTAGACAAACAATTCGACTTTGCTGAAAAACTTTGGAATTGTAACAACTCTATTGGGGATCGAACCCAGAATCTCTGGTTCCGTAGATCAGCACCTTATCCATTGGGCCACAGAGTCATTAGCTGGCAAGCAAGTTTGCAAGTTCTATATTTATCTTAAACAAATATTGAATAGCTGTTCTGGAGAGTTCCCCGAAAAGCTTTGAAAGCTCCTTACATTACATTATCAATAACAAAATTTATGTTTATTTATAATTTATTTCTTACTTTAAAAGCTTTTTCTAAATATGAGATGCTGTTGTTTTTTAAGGATTAGTCGGCTGTTAAATATTTTAAGAATTTATTTATTAATCACAGATATCATTTGGTTGAATAGTGGTGAAATAATATAAAAATATGTATTCTGAAGTAAGAAAATAATGAAGAGTATATACATATTTGAATAGTCTAACTTATGAAAACACATTTGAAATCCTCGTCATTTAATGAATTTACAATTTAATTATACATCTAACTTATGAGTTTATATTTCATCGTTTCAAATATATTTAATTAACAATCAATTGACCTAGTAGGATAAGACATTAGATTTTTTAAATAAATATTAAGAGTTCGAATCTTGATTTTTGTGAATAAAACAATTACCTTACAAATATCATTTTTGCCTATGTAGTTTCTGATCCGAAATAATCGATCAATAAAGAAAATATATTGATGTTCATATGTAAAAAATATATATCATATATATTTATGATAATATTAAGCGATCAAGTAACATTTTCCAAATTAATAATTGCACATAAATCTAAACATCATATTTTAGTTGTGAATATATTTTTCCTAATCCAAGAACAAACATGTTAAGAAATTGTTTTTTATTAAACTAAGGTGATTATAAAGTAGTATTT